TCAACCTTGGCCAGGGTCAGCTCAAGGTCGTCAATGTCTTTCTTGAGCTCTGAACACTCGTCCTCCAGTTTCCTCTTCTTGGCCGTCAGCTCGGCGTTGATCTCCTCCTCATCCTCTGCTCTCTCAGTCACCTCCTTGATCTTGGCCTCCAGCTGGATTTTGGTTTTGATCAGCTGGTCACACCTTTCCTCTGCATCAGCCAAGCCATCTGCTTCCTAAGGGAAGAAATGAAACAGTTTAATTTGTCTAAGCTATATCTGCAAACACACTGTAATTTATTTATTTTATTTATTTTTTTAAATTTTATTTATTCATTTGAGACACAGAGATACAGAGAGAGAGAGAGCATGAGCAGGAGGGGAGACAGAGGGAGAGGGAGAAGCAGGCTCCCCGCTGAGCCAGGAGCCCGACGTGGGGCTCGATCCCAGGACCCCGGAATCATGACCTGAGCCGAAGGCAGATGCTTAACCATCTGAGCCACCCAGGCGCCCCCACACTGTAATTTATTAAAAGGTGGATACTTCAATAACTCAACCAGTTTGGTCAACACATATGCCAACTTTTAACAGTCTACTGGACAAATTGTTAGTAATTTTAATGTACTGATTATAATAACATATTTCCTCTAGCTGTCCCTGTGTGGAATGTCAGATCAGGGAAACTAGCCTTTTGGCAAAATCTGCCTCTGTGCTACTTTGGAAAAATCACTTGTTAATTCTAGGACTCCGTTTCCTCACATTCGAGGGGGTTGGTTAATTTAGCGTTTTCCCTGACCTGGTAAGAACAACATAACTTCTATTTATGTACACAAATATTCACTAAGGAAAGGACAGTCTCATCTAAGAGAAGGGTCTATAAAGGAAAGAAAATGTCCATGGACATCTTTATGACTGTGCTCACTGATGACCATACCGTGTATGAATGTGCATATGAACATACACAGCATAATTGGTGACTTCGCATCTATTGCTTTTTTAGGTCTGAGTCTTAGTATTTTTGAACGACAAACAATTACAGCACCTGTTTTAGTGGAAACCATTCATTCAAAAACCTTAAGTTAAAACTTTTTCATATCAACTCCCACAGTGTCTGGAGGATAAGAAGTGGCTGAGCTGTGCAGTGGATGACACTCACAGATTGAACTTGGAGCTGCAGGTCATTTTTCTCTTGCATCAGAGCTACCATCTTCTCTTCAAGCTCTTTCCTTTTTGCCTCTGACTTAGCCAGTTCTTCCTTGGTCTTCTCAAACTCTTCCTTCATGTTGGCCATCTCCTTTTCTGTCTCCGCGCTCTTGAGAAGTGGCTTGATCTTGAAATATAGCTTCATCCAGGGCCAGTGTTTGACGTTCATGAAAGCACGGACGTTGTACTGGATGCAGAAGATGGACTCTCTGTAGGAAAGAATAAAGATGCAAATAAGGAACAATGTGGACAGTGACCATCACTCAAAAGAAGCAAAATGACTGTATCAGATTCAGCCATGAAAATGCAGAGAACAAGGACTTGGACTTGGTCCCTCACCTCCTCTCCATCATCTTCTTGAATTCCACCCTCATCAGGTACCCTCTGCACACAGCTTGGGTGCGTGTGATGAGTTGAGCCAGCTTTTCATCTCGCATCTCCTCTAGAGTTCCCAACAGGCCAGCTTTAAAGAAAACCTTGCCAAAGAACAAGCTAAATATGTTATTTTCACTCATGAGAAAGTCCAAAGGTGATGAAATTATTATAGAGATTTAGGTTGATGGTACCTTGGTATGACCGAATTTGTACTGGGTGTGGTCGACGTCAATAGACCCTAGAAGTTTCTCAGAAGCCTTCTTACTGTCAATGAACTGACCCTCTGGGATAGCACTCGCATTTAGAACCTTGTATCTATCAGAATACAAAGAATATAAACGCATGGTTTTCCTTCTTACTAGAACTGTTAGTAGCTATCATTGAAAAAATGATAGACTGAGTTTTGGAGAAAAAAAATTCCATTAAAATAATCCAGCAGTGCTTTAGGTGAACCTTGGGAAAATATGTTTAAAAACTTATGGTAATATAAAGCAAGCCTTCGTTCTTTGTTTTTTTTAATTAAATTTTTTTTATTATGTTAATCACCATACATTACATCATTAGTTTTTGATGTAGTGTTCCATGATTCATTATTTGCGGATAACACCCAGTGCTCCATGCAGAACGTGCCCTCTTTAATACCTATCACCAGGTTAACCAATCCTCCCACCCCCCTCCCCTCTAGAACCCTCAGTTTGTTTTTCAGAGTCCATCGTCTCTCACGGTTGATCTCCCCCTCCGATCTCCCCCCCTTCATTCTTCCCCTCCTGCTATCTTCTTCTTCTTTTTCTTTTTTTTTTTTTTTAACATATAATGTATTATTTGTTTCAGAGGTACAGATCTTTTATGATCACCTTTCAAATAATTGCATTTCAGTTTTCAAGAAAGAGTTAAAAGATGTTTGAATTGTGTGAGGATACTGCTCTAGGCTAGCACATTGAAAGGGAGGAATAATGAGACACAAACCTCTGTTTGAAGTCTGCATAAAGGATCCTGCTTGGGAACCCCTTCCTGCAGATGCGGATCCCTTCCAGCACACCGTTACACCGCAGCTGGTGC